AAAAAAACTAAAACTCTTATAAATTATCCAACTATACCCTTTCCGAGATACTCCCTCTTTCGGAAGGGAAAACAGAGGCAAAAATTAGTACCAGTACCGACGGAAATTCAACGCCCTCAGATTCATCGAACCTAGACAAAGTTTTAATTTTCATTGAACTGGAAAACCCTCCATCTCTCATGTTTCGGATTGATATATCGTTTTAAATAAAACAAATAGAAATTCAAAATGCAACTCGATCAGTACGGCGGCTGGTGAAGGTGCTAACTGGTAAGTGATTATTCCTATTGATATTGCCCTTTTTTTCATTTTTGGTGAACTCTCCGCTTGTGATTTTGGTGGTGGGGTTGGCATGATTCAATTATGATTCACTATGGATGGTTATCATCTAATAGAGTTAATGTTCCCTTTCTTTTATTAAATAAAAATGTCATTACTAGAAGAATGAAATGAAATCGGATGGTGAATCGAGAACTGCATGACTTAGCTATTAGTCTACATGAAAGTTGAAAAGGTGACTAGACCTTTTGATAAGTTGGGTTTTTTTCCTTTTTCTTTTTTTTTTTTTTTGACTTTTTTGCTCGAGTCCCCATTTTTACCGTTCGGACTACGTCGGGTGGAGACTCCCTAGTCAATAATCATTTTGTTTGCCCTTTATTTATATATATATATATATACACGAGCGAAAAATGTTCTATAATATAAATTATTTTGAATTTGTAAAATACTAATTGTTTAACAAGGAGAGCCTTTAATATTGGAGACTCTTTAGCCTTTAATATTGGAGATTCTTTTTTCATCAATTGATTCTTGTTTTACAATTCAAAATAATTTAAACTATAAAACTATGTACTCACACACACATATATATATTTTAGATTTTGCATTTTTTATGAAGGAAATAGAGAAGCTTATGAGATATAGGTTCAATGGTTAAAGACATATTTACCTTGAGAAGTTTAAAGTTTGAAATGGACTAGCTAAGGAGGCTGTGATCTAGTGGTTAAGAACATGTTAAGGTGTTAAGGGTATTACAAGTTGAAATTCAAATCCTTTTACTTTGACTATATATATATATATATATAATATTAGGATTAGCATCCAACAAGAGTGGAGTAGAAACCTGAATCACAAATTAGAATCATAGGTAGAGTTTAGTTCGAGCAAGTTTATTTTAAGCTTTGGAGTCTTGTTGGGATATTGTCTTTGTACATGGAATGATGGAATGACCTAAATTCGACCATACATTATCTTAGTGGATTGATATCTGTCGTTGATACAAGAAAATTCGGGATAATGAAACTGCACTTCTGATGGCTGAGGGCTTTCTGCTTTTCCAAGTTCAGAATTAATGAAACATCAGTTTCCGAGCTGCATTGAATACAATGAACTAAAGAAATCAAATCTATGAAGTTGTCTGTTTTAAAGGAATACAGCATAAAGTTGGCTATGTAACTCTAAGCCTTCTAAAATGGACACCGTTCACAAAAGTCAACAATAAACAAATATTGGGATTCTATTCTATGTCAAACTTATACTAATTCAACAAGGGCAAATCTCTTTTAATCATTACCTATATGTCCAAGTGTGATTTGTATATATAGAATGTATATAGAATGTATGAGATCTAGATACATTCTTTACATCTGAAATGATGTCATTTTCGCTGAACAAATCTCCACATAAAATTTTTCTCAGTGAGGAATTACATAAATGGGAGCAGTTCCTCTTCTTTATAAATACTGACACTCATAGGATCAAGTCATAGCTTTTTCCTCTGATTAATGTTAAAAAATTTGCTTAGTTCATAGCTGTCTTTCTGAGCAAGTAACTTTTTCACTCTGTCTTCAATAAAATACTCTCTTTTCCTTTTGAGGGTGGTTTCATGTACAATTCAATTAGATATGCTGCTTGTGTAATATGATATGAAACTATCTTAAAGGTCTTCTTCATAACTGCTGCTTAACATTTTCCTGTAGGTATTGCTAACCTGTGGCCACAATGAGTCTGAGAGTTACTGATGAGTCGAAGGATATTGACATCACTAATGTTTCCTCATCACATCGCCAGTTGCAACAATTGCCTTATGTTCACAAGGTGGGAAAACCTCCTAAACAAAACCTGCTGAAGGAAGTTGCAGCAACCGTGAAGGAAACTTTCTTTGCAGATGATCCTCTCCGCCATTTTAAGGATCAACCAAGATCAAGAAAGTTTGTGCTTGGACTTGAAACTGTTTTCCCTATCTTTGAATGGGGAAGGAAGTATAACTTTTCAAAATTCAAAGGTGACTTGATAGCTGGACTTACCATTGCAAGCCTTTGTATTCCACAGGTATTTTCTTTTTCTAACTAATAATGGTGATGTCCTTGAAGATTTATTATTTTCTTTGTGTCTAATATCTTTTTACATTTAAATCAGGATATTGGATACGCAAAGCTTGCTAATTTGAATCCTCAATATGGGTTGTGTAAGTTCTCCTGCCCTAGATAATAGTTTATTTTTATTTTTCATGCATATCTAAATCACACGAGCTGCTTCCAATTAAAACACAGATGGTAGCTTTGTTCCGCCTCTCGTTTATGCATTCATGGGAAGCTCAAGGGATATCGCAATTGGACCCGTAGCGGTGGTGTCTCTTCTCCTTGGGACTCTGCTGCAAAGTGAGATTGATTCATCTGAAAATCCACTTGACTATAGATGCCTTGCATTCACTGCTACCTTCTTTGCCGGAATCACTCAGTTCATACTGGGATTTTTCAGGTATTTGCCCCACTATCATTGAGATTACTAAATGGACCATGCTTTTATGGTGTCATCGCCCTGATGAATTGGTCATTGTTACATATGTGACTTAAACTGCTTACTATATATTGTTTATTTTCAGATTGGGGTTCTTGATTGACTTCCTATCTCATGCTGCCATAGTAGGGTTCATGGCTGGTGCTGCCATCACCATTGCCCTTCAACAACTTAAAGGCCTGCTTGGCATCCAGCACTTTACAAAGAAAAGTGACATTATCTCTGTTATGCAATCTGTTTGGACTACAGTACATCATGGAGTATGAGACTCCTTTTTATTATTATTATTATTATTATTATTATTATTTTTGGTTGTTGTTGTAGCTTGCACTAAGTAAAAATCTCACTAATTACTTCTATCCCTTTTTTTACAGTGGAATTGGCAAACTATAATTATAGGAATGTCATTCTTGGCCTTACTCTTGCTTGCAAAGTACATTGTAAGACTCCTAGTTTATCCTAGCAAGAGCTACCTAAAAAGCTTTCAATGCCAATTCATAATTCTGGTGATTTTGTGAACTTGGGTAGGGGAAAAAGAATCAGAAATACTTCTGGGTGCCAGCAATTGCTCCTTTTATCTCAATCATCCTTGCCACGCTCATAGTATACGCCACACGTGCTGACAAGCAAGGAGTACAAATTGTAAGAAACTTTTCCTTGTCTTGTAACTACTTCAAGGTTTCATGCTTGGCAATTGTAGAGTAATTGGGGACTCATTTTCATCTTAAGGTCAAACATATTAGAAAGGGAATCAATCCGTCATCTGCTGACCAAATATTTTTCAGCGGAGAATATCTAGCCAAAGGTTTTAGGATAGGTGTTGTAGCAGGAATGGTAGCACTGACGGTAAGCTAATTCCAGAATCATGTTTTTCTGATTTATGATAGCACTGACAGTAAGCTAATTCCCATTTCTTTTATTTATAGGAAGCTGTTGTGATTGGAAGAACTTTTGCTTCCATGAAGGACTATCAGTTGGATGGAAACAAAGAGATGGTAGCATTGGGAACTATGAATGTTGTTGGTTCATTGACATCTTGCTATGTTACCACAGGTGTGACTATGGATGCATTCTCGTGCTTTTATCTCTCTCGGAATTTTTATTGTTTTGCTATTTCTATTCTAATTTAGAACATAATCAACTCTGATGTTTGTGTAGGTTCCTTCTCCCGCTCAGCGGTAAACTGCATGGCCGGATGTCATACGCCTGTTTCTAATATTGTGATGTCCTTAGTAGTCCTACTGACATTAGAGCTCATCACCCCTCTATTTAATTACACCCCAAACGCTATACTTGCTTCTATTATTATATCTGCTGTGCTAGGGTTAGTAGATGTTGAAGCAGCAATCTTAATCTGGAAGACAGATAAATTTGATTTTGTTGCTTGTATGGGGGCCTTTTTCGGTGTGGTTTTCTCCTCTGTTGAGATAGGCCTTCTGATTGCGGTAAGGCTTGAAAAGTTTTTTGACCTTTTGAGTTCTTACTTGTGAAGTACATCTGCTAAATTTTGTTTTTTAACAACAGATTTCAATATCCTTTGCCAAAATCCTCCTGCAAGTAACAAGGCCACGCACTGCAGTTCTCGGAAAGATTCCTAGGACTAATGTATACAGGAACATTCTTCAATATCCAGAGGCCTCCAAAGTTCCTGGGATCCTGATTGTTCGAGTTGATTCTGCAATTTACTTTTCTAACTCCAATTATATCAAAGAGAGGTATTAGCTTCGACACAACATCAGAGTTTCTGCTCTCACTCCTGACCCAGGCAGAAGGATATGTCGAAATATATTGATTATTTTTCTTTTCTGGATTACTAATTGCAAAAGGATTTCATTCTATCAACAAATATCTATAGAACCAAGTCAACGCTAAAAGCCTAAATTTTCAATTTTTTTGTAGGATTTTAAGATGGCTAACTGATGAAGAAGAAAAACTGAAAGAAAACTCCCAACCAAGAATCCAGTTTTTGATCGTTGAAATGTCACGTAAGCCTCGTCTATTTTAGTAAATGATAGCATTTCCTGAAAACATTTCTTGAGTTTGTGCTTAAGAATTTTGCATTATATACAATATTATTTGGAAGTTATAATGCTTGTTGAATAATTCATTCTTATGAGATTGTATTTATGCAGCTGTAACTGACATTGACACCAGTGGCATCCATGCCTTTGAAGAGTTGTATAGAAGTCTCCTAAAGAGAGATATTACAGTAAGAACCGCTAAGATTTCAATCTCAAACTCGTCTTTGTATACTTTGCTATTCGTTTTGTCTCGTTTTATAAACGAATTTGGAAATGTGATTCATATATATTTTCGCATGGAATGCGACAGCTTGTTTTAGCAAATCCAGGACCAGTCGTGGTTGATAAGATCCATGCATCAGGATTCGCTGAGTTGATAGGCGAGGACAAGATTTTTCTTACCGTAGCTGATGCTGTGCTAACATTTGCTCCAAAGATGGAGGAACCATGAAACCTGCTCTAGTGTAGTTGTTCAATTCTTCCCTATATATATAGCCAAATTAATATCAAATAAAGTTTGATTCGAAGCTGATTTGGAGAAATGCTTGACTAAGGCAATAAGTTATTCAGGAGAAACGCGCTGCTTGAGCACTAGTGTCAAATTAAGGCTGTAATTTACTAATTTTGCTTGAGAACTTTCTTCCTCATAATCCAGCGTTTACTTGTTGGTTTGCCTTGGAGAATTTTTTTTTTTTTTTTTTAAGTTGGTATCTACTACTGAAAGGGTGTTTAGATTAGTAAGTTGATATTATTATTGTTTATCATCTAAATATTTTAATTTATTTAAAAAATTCAAACCATTAACTATTAATTTTAAATTTTTACATCATAAAAAATATTATATGACATAATTTTATTTGATTTAGCAATTAAGGGAGCTACTAAATAAGTAATTTATATGATTGGACTAATAAAAATATTTTAATTATGAATAACAATTATTAATCACAGTTATCAATTATCAATTTTTTTATAAATCCTAGTCGTTCCCTCCCTTCTCTTGCCTTAAATTTCTACTTTTTGTCTTGTTTTCTTGTCCCCCTTAGCCCCCACCTCCCTCTCCCTTTGTGGTTAGGATGGATGGTTAAAAGGTGGAAAGTTCTCTCTTATTTTTTCAAGGATTTCTCCCTCTTTTGTAGAGATTTCTCTCTCTTTTAGAGGGTTCTAGCCTTTGCTTTCTCAATTTTTTTTTTCTCTAGTTTTGCTATTGTTGGAGGAGGATGGTAACTTCAATGCAATAATGGTAGGGATTAGGTAAGTTGTTGTACTTATTTTGGCTATTGAAAGCATAGTTAGAGAAAGGATTCCTAGCTAAATTTTTTGCCTCAAGAACCAATTTATTTTCCATTTAGATAGATTATGTTGAAATGCAACTTAATTGCTAATTCTCAAGTTCAAGTCTGGTTGTGATGTTCATACAAGCATTAGATTATTTATTTTGTATTTTTACACATTTTATGAGCATAAAACTTTGTATTGCCCTATTCAAGTTGATCCTATAATTTTTATGATTTTCTTATATCACTGAAATTTTATTTCTTATAAAAAAATAATTAATTGTTTTGTTTTAGTAAACCAAACATGTCTTTAGTTGTTTAATAAAGAAGCCTTTTTGGCCCCTGAATGAAGTGATTATAATTATCAGTTGTTTTGTTATAGTTAAACCAAACATGTCTTTAGTTGTTTAATAAACAAGCCTTTTTGGCCCTTCAATGAGGTGGTTATGCATCCTTGTTGGAATATTGTATTAAAGATTTATAGGAAATTCAGCATTAAAAATTAGTTTTTATAGATGACAAGATTTATTTTGTTTTGTTTCTATAGGAAATCTCAAGATTTTATTAGGACATAGAAAATAAAGATTATAATAGTAAAACAGTAAGAATCCCTAATTAGGGACCTAATTTGCACCATATGAGCTATACCTACAGTATCTAGTACAAGGTTACAAACGCTTGTAAACTGATCGGATAATGAAGAATAAGAATCCACCTAACAGTAGTGATTACAAGACCAATTACCATAGGTGCAATAACACAAATTCTGTGCATAAAGATCACCTGTTTTGTATTGCTTACCTTTTAGGGGATTTCACCCGTTATGTGAGCTCTGGGGGAAATGATTTTCTTGACCAACAGCAGCTCCAATCTATTGTGAGCCAAGGTGATAAACTCAACCTCCATCACTCGGAGGGTCCAAGCCCCATTTCCTTCATCACCAACGCAGTGCTAAAATTATCAATTAAGACCTTCGAAGCTCTAACGCATTCACCCTTATCTAATTCAGCCTTCTTCTTCCCTCTTCCATCTTTTTTCTTGCTAGGGGAAAGAATTGCTTCCTTGCCAGTCTGCTTCCACCTTCCTCAACCAGAGCTTGAAGTTTTCCTCTTCTGTTTATTCCAGCTTCCGCTGGACTAATCACCTGCACAGGGACATCAACTAGTTGGGGAGGTATATCAGCATGGCCAATTCCATTTTCACTCGCTTCACTAGCAGCCTTGTGCCTAGTATTTCCAGCCTCTGACCGTCCTGCTTGTCTACCTCGATTTCTTGCTCCATCTTGAGAGCTGATATGGTAGGGGGAAAAAGGAAAATTGCAATTTTCCCCCATTTGGTTTGGGTGGGTGCATTTAATTTTTCAAATCATAAAAATGTGTATTTGACTCCATATAGATTGCAAATGTGAACTCAACCGTCTAAATCATAAAAATTGTGCTCTTGATCCCTTGTCGGTAAATGTGCAGTTAACTCCGAAGTATTTTTGAGATTTTACCTTTAAAATTAATAAACTCAGGTGGTTAAGTGCACGGTTTTCAAATTCTGAGGGAGTTGGGAGCACATTTTCATTATGTGGATGTTAAATGCACATCCTCTAACCGCAGAAGGTCAAGTGCATATTTTTATAATTTGGGAGGTTAAATACACCCACATCAAACCACATAGGGGCAAGTGCAATTTTCACAAAAAAAAAATTATAGTTCCCCTATCCTACTGCTCTAGTTAGAGTAAATGTGTAAATAAGAATTCTAATTTTACACTTTTTTCTATTTAAAAATGTTAAATTTGTCATTTTCTAAATAAAGATGTCAATTTTTAATTTTTTTTATTTAAAGATGTCAATTTTTAACTTTTTCTATTTAAGAATTAATTGGTGGTGCTGTTGACCGTCAGCTAACATATTTTTTTAAGTTAAATACTTAAATTGGTCCCTCAACTTTTATTTTTTAATCAATTCATCCTTAAACTTCAGAAAGTATCAAAAATGTCCTTCAACTTTAATTTTCAATTAATAAAATTATTTCTTAATTCATGGAAGAATTAATTAACTTTTATTTAATTTTATTAAATGGTAGGTGGGACTAATTAAATGGAAAAATATATTAATTGTTTTAATTTTTAAATATAAATAAAGTAAAATTAAGAATTAAAGTAGTTTTTAAATTCTTTAAAATTAAAAAAAATCCACATAATCATTTTTTACATAATGGATTTTCCACCTAATATTGAAAATGTAAAATAGTCAATCACTTAGCAAAAAAATTAGCTACATCAACATTTAACTGATATAAAGACGAAATTGAAAATTGAAGTTGAAAGATGTTTTTGGTACTTTCTGAAGTTTAAGGATGAATTGGTTCAAAAATAAAAGTTGATGGACCAATTCAGATATTTAACCTAAAAAAATATGTTAGCTAACGTTAGCACCACAACCAATTAATCTTTAAATAGAAAAAGTTGAAAGTTGACATCTTTAAATAAAAAAAAAAATTAAAAGTTGACATCCTTATTTAGAAAATGACAAAGTTAAAATCCTTATTTGCACATTTACTCGCTCTAGTTATGATCACTATTAATTTTGTGAAGATTGCTCTAATTGTTATATTTTTATTTTTATTTGATTATTAAAACGGTTGATAACTAATAAAATAGCTAATATTTATTATTAACATATTGAAATCAATTTATAAAAAGGTATTTTGAAATATTCTAACTAATTATTTGCAAAAAAAACCTATAAACTAATAAAATTATAGTTAAAATTGATAATTTTAACAAAATCTTTAGTGCCAATAACCTTAACTCCTGACCTACAACTACCTAGCTCTCATCACAAAACTCTGTTGTAATTGTTAGGAGGAAACTAGATGGTTTTTATTAAAACATGGTAGTTTTAGGGTTGCAAATTTTTTTACCAACACTTTTCTTATTCTTTACTCAGGTAATTTAGAACTTTTAAAAAATAGTTCAATTAGTTAAAAATTGAAATTTTATGTTAGAGATTTTAATTTTAAACTTTAAGTTAAGAGGAGACGATTTGAAAAAAGAGGAGAATTATCATTTTTATATAGTTTATCATTAGATGTAAAAAAAAAAACCAAAAATATAATAAATATACATTTTTATGGTTAATTTGCATTTAAAAAATCAAAAATTACTTTTATTTAATCAATTATCTAACTAAAATTATCAAAATAGAATCTCCATTGAATTTAATGTTATCTTTTGCATACTCTTATATAAACATAACTTGAAATAAAAAAATATATTATTATCCATTTAAAAAAAATGATTTCACTTACATGTCTTTATTTTAATTCTTTCTTCTGATAATTTTTTTGTTCTAATTTTATATGTATGAGTTAAGAAATAAAAAAAATTATTTTATTACCCGAAATCAAAAAAATATTTTATTTGGCTTTGCACACAAAAGTAGAACTCAAAAATCAACACCATAAGCCTTTTATGGCTCGCTTGTTAGAGGAATGACGATGGAGCAGCATATCAGAGCAAGACGTAGGCAATTCGAATCCCGCCTTGCTAAAAATTAAAAAGTTGAGCACCCCGCCCCTGCCAAAGAGATGAGTGCATGCCCCCTTTCCGGCTATCCCACACGCAGCAGAGACAATTTATAATAATTCCAATATTTATTTACTCCCCAAATCCACCCCGTAGGAAAATAATCACCTCCCATCTGCCATCTCCATCCCAACTCGCGGTCGAGAAGATTCCCACATAAGGAGGAAAAATTGCGCCCATACCATCAACTCGACAAAATTTGATGATATGTTAACATCCTCATTATGGAAGAATGTTGGATTGCAATTGGCAGGTGGAAAGATGAAATGAAAACCTGAGACACATGCTATGTCCAGCAATAAGCAAAAACAGAAATATTAAAATGGCATAGAGAACACTAATATTAACCAAACCTCAAACAGAGTTCCTATTAACCCCCAAAATCCAATGTTATCTACTCTGTCTCACACATCAAAACAAGGGAAACTAAACGAAAATCCTCAATAACAGGTTAGAGATCTCAAAACATCACTGCAATCCCTCAAAAGGAAAACAATAAAGCAATCACTGAGCCCAAGACTACATATCCAACTGAAACACCGCGAATGGGAGAACCACTGCTACCAGGAGCTTGTGCTGGTACCTGCTCGTTGCCAATGGACGCTGTAGGTGCACTACCAATTGATGGAGTCCCTTCTGCAACAATATAGATAAGTTAAATGTTATCATAATGACAATAGCATTTCCAGAAGAAAACGACCAAAGATCCTTAAAATTAGGAAGCTTTAATCTGTTTTGGCCCCAACTACATTTTTAAATCTGGGTATCTTCCTATAAGGGGATCAAATTCAACAACATCTACAGATAACAGAATTTGATTTGCTATTTGGTTTCTTTTGATGAATCTTCTTTTAGTGCATATGGAAAGCCAAAAACGTAAATGATATGATATGAACTTGAATCCTATGTTTGATTTGAGAGAAAGAAAGTGGAGGGAGTGATGGATTTTTAACCCAAAAAAATTGTAATATCTAAAAATGCTATAATTTAATTGGTTAAAAATCTTATTCTTTTCTTTTCAATTAAGGAAAAGAAAAGGTCAAATTTGAAATAGATGACAATGTACACGCATAGTTATTTGAAATTTGAAATTAAATCTAAAAATGAAAATCTGATTCAGTTCTGATAAGAATGACAAAAAAAAAAAAAAAAAATCCAATGGATGATTTGAATTTCAAAATTTAATCGGAAAGTGAATCAACTCACCATAGAAATTAAATAAAATCAAATTAAATTTTATCTTAAAAATCGAAACAACAATAAAATCAATATTATTGCCAAGATATGGATCAGAACATACCTGGTGCACCAACAGGAGCCAAAGACACTGCACAAAAAAATAAAAATAAAAATAAAAATAATTAATCATAATCTTTGAACCCAAACAAATTATTTAAGAAAAAGATTTAATAATAACTCGTTTCCCAATCTTACAAGGAGGCCAAAATAAAAATAAAAATCAGAAATCAGAATTTTGTCTAGAGGGACAAAGGCCCTTTTTTTTTCCCTAATGAAACCCAGTTTCCCACGATAATTTCCTGGGAAACAAACAGGATAACGTCAACAAGAAATTCCTTAGCTTTTTACACTCAGATTTTACAGAAAACACATTATGTCGCATAACACATTTTTGGGTACAGAGAAAAGATTAAATTCAGTCTAGAGAAATTTTTCTGAAGAAACAAACAGAAAAGAGAAAAAAATGCACAAAGAGTACTCACATCCGCACTTAGAAGCAGCAGGAGCATTAATTTTGCAAGCAGCGGGGAGAGACAAGGCCTTGGTGACATTCAGAGTGACACCCAGAGAGGCGCTCTGCTTGAAAGCCTCACAGAGGCATTCCGCGTCAGTATTCAACACCATCTTCAACCCAGAACAGCAAGTCCCCTCAGGCTTCGACGCGGTGCCGCCACTGGACACGTAGGACAAACAATCCGCCATGTTCAAGACGAGAGAGGAGCAATCAACCGCTGGCGCTGGGGCGACGGCGTGGTGGTGGCCATCGTGGCCGTGGGCGCGGTCGAGGATCCAGACGGCGAGAATGGCGAGGAAAAGGGAGGATTTCGGTGCCATTTTGGGTGACGGAGCGAGGAGGACAAACTACAAGAGCGTAGACACTGGATTCTTAGTGGGGGAAGGGAAAGTATGGAGAAAGGGGGGACTAGGGGTCTTTATGGGATGTTCCATGCGGGGGGCGTGGTCACACAAGTCGGTGCAATGAAGACTGTAGTACACGTGTCAAAGGCTACATGATACAAGTTACTTGAAATTTATTTAAAAGGAAAAGGTTACATGAAATTGAAATTTTTTGAAATATTTTCCATTGGGAGATATTTGTGGTTTAAGGCCACTTTTATATGGAGGTGAATTTTAGTTGAAAGATTTTATTTGGAAAATTGTTTGAAAAATATTGTATAAAAAATTTATAAATTTTGTAATGAAATTATATTAAAAATTTATTTTTTTATATATTTGATAAAAAAGTAATATAAAAAAATTTAGTAAAAAAGTTGTTAAATAAACCATAAATAAAAAAGGTAGAGTCAAATTTTTTCTCTACAAAAAAATGTAAAAGAATGGTTTATGACTAAAATTATATTAAAAAATAAAAATTAAAAATATCACCTTTATTATTATTTTGTTACAATAAAAAAATAAATAAATTTATAAATAAATAAATTTATATATAAATATGCTAAAAAATTTAAAAGGGAAATTTTCCTCCAACCAAATACGGCCTTAGCGTGAACAAAAATGCTTACCCTTTTAGGAAATATCTAAAGAATAACCAAAATTTTTAATCAACCATCTTATTGCCTAGATAGATACGAAGAGGGAATATTTATGCTCCTTTCCGTCATTTACAGTTAACACCGTTAACCATTGAGTTAAGTATTGCTTTTCTTTTTAAAAAAGTAATAATAGACGCTGAGGAAAAAGGACGACTTCATATCTATCTAGGTAATATTTTACGTTTTGAGTTAAGTACTCTTTTTCTTTTTACGCTAAATGTCATTTTTATTTGGTTAGTACGAATATAAAAAGGTGGCATATGAACAGTCTATAGAAGGGTATTAAGTAGTGGAGTTTCATGATGACGACAACCAATTCGGTTCAGAAATGAGATTCGGCAAGCCGAGCAATTATGGACAGGACCCCTCCACCAGCCACCCACGATACATGCGGCCGCAGACATTAATTTTTAATATATTTTTATTAAATTTAATTAATAAGATTAGTATTTTATTGGCTTTTTTAAAAAAATAAAGTATAAAATTACGTTAAAATTA